GGCCTACCGGTACGTCTCAAACTCTGCACACGGAAAAGAATTTAACGACTACACGTTGTAACTTCAACAAAATGATATTTTACTGTACTATAAAATAGTGGTTGCATCATGCAACCGTTGTCAAGTCTCCGACCCGGTCGATTAATCAAGATCTCCACTTTTCTGTAAGATCTTTATACAAAATTATATGAATCATTTGACATTTTAATGTCAATCAACCACGTGTCCATCAGAAACTGCATATTATGATTGGTTACTTGCACACAGTTCAACCCAGGCCCACCCCAAGAAGATGGATACACAAGGGCTTAATTCGCTTTATCGAAATTTAAAGGATTTTCAAGTCTAAATGAAAGGCCATAAAATTAATTTTGAACTCCATAGGTGTGAAATTTATCTGATCATACACCGAAACAATATTATTTAGCCTACAAAGTACCTATACACTGAAACAAATAAAGACTAAAAGATGTTAGCTTCCATGCAATTATTAAAATATTATACCGACATTATAACATTTTATTGACAAACACGTTTACGTATACAAAGTAATCATCATTTAAAAAAAACGTCACTGTTACAATTTCACTGTTAATTGTCGAAAGTAAAAAAAAGCCACCAACATGTAGAAAATTCGAGATCACCCGTGCTAGCTACATGTAGCACGATCATCATCGAGACAGATGAGAATTATTCAATTGGACAGGTGACAACAACAGCAACAAAAACTATAATTGCATGAAAACCCTGTCAAAAATGGATTGATTGATGAAAGACCTACAAATGTACCTGTTCACAAGCGCTGTAGGCCTACACGTATATAGGCTATACCTGATGCACAAGTAGCGCCGTATGGATCACTTTAGACCGCAAGATTTTTTTCGTCATCTTGATCACTTAAAATGTTGGGATGACAAGTGAATGTTCAAGTAGTAATTATCCACGTGAACAGTAAATCAACTGTGAGAATCATGTAGGCCATATATATCTTGTAGTATGAATACCTAGATGTGAGAATTTTAATGCTTCTTGTCATAGGGCCTATATATACGCACATGCATGCATTAGGTAGGCCTGTGTGTGTTGCATATATACTCATGTATATCATAACAAAGGCAGGTCTAGGGAGCACACATACATGCACGCACGCACACACACGTAGCACGCATGCACGGACAAACACACGCGCGCAAACGCATACACACAACATCTATCTATAAATCCTTCTATTCGTTCATCCATCCATTAATCAATCTATCAATCTAGCTATCATTTTTATTGATCGAATTATGCATTTAAGCATTATTCACCAAAATGCCTCATTACTATCAACGTTACTATGGAAATAGTGGTTACAGTGGAAACAGTACTATGCCACAAGTTTGCGGTTTATGTTAATTCTATACCGAGAAGCGTGAGATGTCTTCTTGGATTTGACTAGTGTCTTTGCAACGTTATTTCGTTTACTTATTAAGGTACTAAGGAGCGGGATTCCAACAGTTTTTGTCACTTCCTCGTACGTTGATGTCAGATGATTGTGACCAATGACTCGTATCTTAATTAATTACTTCCTTCTCTCTCTCTCTCTCTCTCTCTCTCTCTCTCTCTCTCTCAAATGACCATAGATACATTCAAAGGAATTTCCCAGCAAACATAAAACGTTGTAATAACCAATTACCATAACATTTATATTGCCAAATAACGTTATGGTAACGTTATAATAACGCTGTATGTTGGCTGGGTTAACTGGTCCGTACAGGTATCATAACAGTTATAACTAACAACGCATGAGCCTTGCATGCTTTATAACAGGGACGGATTTAGGCCGTCTTCTGAGTCTTCCGGAAGACGGTCAGATTTTCCAGTTTACATTGACGGGTATTTATTTTTTTTTTCAGTCGGAAGACGGTCAAAACTGGAAGATGGATCGACAAAGATAATCCGGAAGACTGTCAGAAAATATTTCTGGATCCGCCCATATATGTCCGATAGGCCACTTGTGATGATTCTCACTACCCCCCATCTTTCTATTATTTTCTCTCCATTGCAACCTTGCTACAGATGTATGCCAATTACTCTAATATTTTCCCTATAAATCACCTGAGATCGCAGTTCACCCCTGGGAGTAGTTAGCCGACTAATAATAACCTCAGGTTGCTGCTATAATTGCGCGTAGAAAAACGGTTTGCGCTATATTAAGCTTAGAAGGGGATTGGCAAAGACAAAAATCAATAGCTATTCTCGGAGATAGAAAGGTTAAGGAGAGACACGACAAGCTTTGGGCTACGACAGAAGGAGTCTTGTTTTATAGACAAAAATGTCTCCAGGTTAATTCTGCTGATGCTAACGAGACTCACAGAATATTGGGTGTTTTCTGATCAGAAACCGGATACCCGTTAAGATATTTATATCTCATATAGCGACGTAAGATGTATATAACAAGATTTGGAAATCTCTTAGCAATCATTCTGATCCGATAATTGCCGTCATTCTGCCAACAAGTCGTCGTCGGAGAAGGCCACGTACGTCTATTTCGGAGAAAATAAAACGGCATTGTGATTTCACAGAAATTATCATATGCGGTACGTAATAATTTTACAATACTTGGGCATATTCTCTTTTTCACCTTTGGGCTAAATGCCCGTGCTATATCATTTTCTTTAGTTTCGGTTGAAAATGATCGCGGAGGTTCTATCATTTGGTCATCCTTGAACTTCTCTATTCTCTCACACAGCTGTGACCTTTTTGCAATATTTATATTTGCTCTGTGAAATATTTTATTTTATTTCAGTCATTATAACAATATTTTTATTATTATTATCATTATTATTATGATTATTATTATTATTATCATTATTATTATTATTATTATGCAAGTTATTCACCATTTAATTACTCCATTTGTTTTTAAATAGCACGAGGCTAACCTTTAATCATTCGAACAATTTCCAATACAATCGGAACTGAAAAGTTGAATGAAATATAATCTTGATCAAAACGCAATATTTAAAAATAAAACCAGAAAAGCACACATTGATCGCATACCTCCGCCAAGGCACCTTAATTCTCATGATCAATTTAATAATTTATGGATCACCGTCAAAAACTGATCACCTCTAGGCTAGACCATTTCTAATGCACCCTGATAATTTGTATTGATTTTTTCGTTGGACGTACAAACCAACAAAGGCAAAGGCACAACCTCTTTAGCGGAGATAAAAAAGAAGCACAGCTCAGCAACGCAATCTAAATTAGTTGTCTTCAACGTCGTATATAAAAAGGTCGTCCACAGCTGTTGTCACTGATGAAATTCGGCATGCGACATGTGAGGGTCCCATTGGGTATTTTCGTTACCCGTGAAAGACACCTTTTCTTTTCCGAGATGCATGAAACGGTCATTTTATTTAGCGTGATTTGTGAGGTACCCCACCCCCGTGACTTGCGAATGCAGTTTTTTTCCCGCCCTTTGTGAAACGAAGTCATTATACCCTGGGATTCGTAATTTTAAGGAATTTCGACACACATCAACTGTGAAATATATATAAAATATATATATATTATTTACTGCGATTTGTGAATTGACTATTTTATTTCCCTTGAACTGTTATCACTACCCCCCCCCCCCCTCTTTGGACCCTCATATGTGTCTTTGCTGCGTGGATTCAGCTATTGATTGCCATATTTCCTAGCTTCTCCGTGAATAGAAACCCGTTCATTGTAAGCTGTAGGGTATCTGTACCTACCCATTCTTCTATTCTATTCTTCTATATTCTTCTGTTTGTACTCCGCATATCTCACCCAATGTCCATATACTGTCTGTCTGTCTATCTATCTATCTATAGGTATATGCTTATATATCTAGAAATGACTGCAGTGAAGATATAAGAGTATTGCTACTCCTTGGTTGTAAGCATATAGTATCAATACTCCACTGATTAGCTAAATCAAACCCATAACAAACTGGTGGTATGATTGACTATATAATTTGGTTCACCATGTGCGTATGCACTATATATCAGATACCTGTGGTTAATAATTGCTACATGTACGTGGCATTTGTCATCCATTTGGCGTTACGAGGCAATTGATTAACTAACAGACCTTTCTATTTAACTGAAAGCTTCGTTCAAAGCGAATATATACAGGTTTTTGTTTAGCTTTAATAACGTTTTAGTTTTAATTACATATTATTCATTGTGACTTCGTTGATCGTTATCATCTAAAACATATTTAATATTTATAATCGTGGGAATTAATTTGGAATAAGAGAGAAAAAGTTCTTTCCCCCTTCAGTTATGATTACGTGAGAAATGAAGAAACTTCACACGTGGTTTCCCAAAATACGAAAAAAGAAAAACTGTTGTTCTTTTATCAATGGTGGAGGTCTCCCTTCTAACCCCCAGGGAAATATCTTTGCATAAACTTTGGAGAACCGTAAAAATAGAGACATCAAAGTGACATCACTCACCGTTTAAATTAATGATGTGCACGTTTTGAAATTATGAGGTAAAACCTGACATAGAATGCAGTAAATGTTTAGAGATTGCCGCGTATGATGTTTAGCGTTAAAAAAACATAAGATACTGTTTAGCATTGCACTCTAGTTGTCACAAGTCTATAATGAATCTTCAAAGCCTAAAGAAGTCGCTAATTTCTCTCTCCAATTAAGTTTCAGACAGCAATTCTTTGAGAAGGTAGATTTACAACGAAGCAGACAACAAAAAAAAAACTTAAAGTAACTGAAGCCAGAATATCGTCTGTCAGCCAAGTCTCAAAATATGTTCGACGTAGGAAACTGCTTTGGTCATCGTGGCAGCGTGTCTGAGGAAAAATAGTTCGAGTCGTTTCTCTTACGCAAGGATTTCTGACTCACACACGTAGTATGCCAATGGGAAAGTTCTTTCGTTCACACCTGCGTACCTAACAGGCTCATTTAAATATATAGGAGTATGCATAAGGCTTATAATAGGTACATACTCAGGAAATCGACTCAGAGAAAAATGAACACAAGCAGCAGCTCGGAAACGCTGCCACAGGATTCCAACTCTGAGCGATTGGAACAAAATCCAACAAAGAAATCGTTTTGGTCTCGCGGTGGAGGCGGGAGCGGGGAAGTAGGCTTCAACGTTGTTGCATCGTCATCGCCAAAGGGAAACACTTCCAATGTGCGCCGAAGAGAGAAAGAGAGGAGACGCACGCTGCACGTGCAGGATATCTCGCAATCTTTCACGGAGCTGTCGACTAGCCAGTCTCCACGCAAGATCAGCTGTGACGATCCTCCCACCACCGTCAAACATGCATACGAGCCTTTCGGTACCACGAGCGTGAAGCCCTCACCTCAAAAAGATGACGCCGCACTCTTGTCAATCTCCGTGCGCCCACCTGCGGATTCGGGTCATGTTATATGCGTGGGGGACAAGCCTACCAGTTACCAATACGGAGTTTTCGAGGATCCCACTTTCCCGCCAGACAAAACGTCCTTGACCTACGTCTACAGCGGGGACGATAGGTATGAGAGGATGACCTTCCAAAAACCCTCAGTAAGTACAGCACTCTGCATATATCCCTATCGGCTTCGGTAGAGTATACGCTTTAAAATATTCCTTTGATTATTGGTCTGTTAATTTATTTATTTATTCGTTTCTTTATTTATTTGCTCCAAACAGCAATGAGAAACACTCAAGACGACCGAGTACCTATAAAGATTATATAAAACTAGCAATTTTGGTGCCGTAAATAGTCCAACGAAATGAATGTCCTATAGTAGTGTCCTCCCAGACGGTATATCAAGATGTTACATTGATATGAACGGATATTATTTGATATAGACTGAATCGAGGCTGTAAGCACTTTGTGTCGTCATACGAGCTAAGAAAACGTGTGAGACTCTGAGTTTGGTGGAGCGTAACTGTTAACAATAAGGGTGAAACTCTGTTTATGATGTAGTCTAATATAAGAAATCAATACAAAGGTGATACGCAAAAGTCAAACATGGTAAATTGGCACTCTTTTGCAATAGCCTGTCCGCGATGTGAGAGAGCTTTAGAGAAAACAACTAATAATTATATCCTTGAATAAGTTTCGTCAGCTTTTATTTGTTCTCGCACTGCACTTGCTAGTCTGCCATTATTTCTGGTCCCACACTCCTTCAAATCCCGCGAAATCCCGCTTGATTTAACACTAGAGTGCGAGACAGCAGGCTCTCCGGATCCCGTTTGGTGCCCGCTATGAATATTGCCCTGTGTGTGCTGTAAAATCACAAGGCTGCTTACTGTATTTTACTGTTGTTGTTGATGTTGGAATTAAATTCAATTGTTATTTATTTATTTATTTATTTATTTATTTATTTATTTATTCAGGGTTTTGTTATAATTTACCTTTTTATAACTTAAATCTTTGATTGCAAGTTACTGTTAACGTTGCCCTCGATGTTTCATCCTCGGGTTGGAATTGTTCCAATGTTTTTATTTCTTCCAAATAGTACAGAAGATACAACAATAACAAACCCCAAGTGCCATTTTGTAAAATTCAAAACTTGTCTTGTTCGCTTATATTATTAACCGAGGTGTATCATATTTCCACAGTACTTGCGTACAATCGGTGACATATATGCACAGTCGTTTAGACAGACAGACAGATAGATAGATAGATAGATAGATTAGACAGACAGACAGACAAATTTAAACAATGAGAAAGACAGACAGATAGGGAGCAGCGTTGTGCGTGGTCTCTTTAAGGGTGTCACTATAAGAGTAGCTCAGCACTCGCTGGACAACCACAAAAATAGAACCAGGTTTAACGGTACGTACATTGTTTGAGAGAACCTGTTTGCTGTTTGTTTCTCGCATTTCTACCTGTAAACAACGTACATGTACACCGATCGAGTCTAGAGAGTATAAGATATGATAAATATGTCCAAAGTATCGAATTCAAAGACAAAAAAGAGTGACTAAAACACAGAGAAACAGGAAAATAAAAGAAAGAACCGTATTTTCGTTTCTAATTAATTTGAATCCCTTCAGCACGATAATCGCAGGGATTGGGGACTTACTTTAATCACGCAATGTTTTGCTGCCGGTAGAAATCTAATTTCCCGGCTTGATCTAATTTGTACATGTAACGGTAGTCATCGTTAATCTGTTGGTTATGATCTGGTTTTTGGGCACAGCATATCGCCAGTTTACCATCTACCAGGGACACGGATGGATTTTGCTGATTTTGCGGGTTTTGACATATGTGTCCCTGACTTTATACATCATATATGTATAATTTTAAAAAATTATTTACTATTATTACTATTATTCCATATATATATATAATATATATTAGTTAGAGAGCCTTTAAATGTAAAACATTTCTGTGCTCAAGAAATTATTATTATTATTTCCCTGGCTAATTTATATCCCAATACACCGCTGTGCCCTGGAGAACAGCACACATAATTAATCTTCTGCCCTGGCTAGAGTAAGCAGGGGGTTTATCACATACATCAGGTACAGCGTTATATCTGAGCTGGCTAATTAAACACCAGTGATTTTCATCAATATTATAAGAGCATTACCGATGCTCAAACGTCTGTCAATTTCATGCACCGCCCGCCGATATACCTCATTATTATGCCTAAATATATAATAAATATATGTATCTGCAGGATCCAGGACTCACACAAAATGCATCTAATTTGGGAGCTACACTGTACATGTCCCTTAAGGGTTAAGGTGTCTTGATCTTCATGCCGTAGCGAAGCATTAACTAATGTGCATGTATTTTGGAGTTGGATTTTTAATAGATCTTTTGTTTATTGGAGATGTGAAACTGGTATTTTCTATATATACAGGAGGCATATTCCTGCCACCTTTAATAATTATACCAAGTCCACGACACAAAATATATGAAGGGAGCCGGTAAGACTTTCCTCCAAAATTCAACCCGATAGCTTTCTTTGGTTGACTCCCGATTACGACACAACATGAAAAATAATTACACTGTATTAAACATGGCAAATGGTTTTTCTCAGAATTCGATGTATGAAGGAAAATGATAAAATCTCCTGCTAAAACCGCTTTGAATCAGTTAATACACCCTTTCAATTACCTAGATATATCAAAATTGCACGAACGGCCGTCTCGCACAGTTGCTGTCAACAGTTATCACTGTCACCGCCGTTTTCGTGCATAATTGTGACTTGCTTACAGCAGGATCTGTCTGTGTTCAGCTTTCACAGCTTCAGGGCATGACAGTGCTTAAAAGATTTATGGAAAAGACATGAACATGGCTCAGCTGTCTTTTTTTCTTTTTTTTTTCTGTACATCATCTTCTTTCTTGAGCGGAAAGTCTTATCGGAGGTTTTGATGGCCCCTTGAGGAGACTGACAGAAAAAAAGAAAAGAAAGCAAAAAGAGAAAAAAAGTAGGGAATTTTCAAATCTTAATTACTAACGACAGGGAATCTCCTTTCCGCATAGAATTAAAGATTTAAAGGAGGAAAGATATGAAAAAAATGTATGGAAGACCCTCATCGAAGCCTTACATAAAGTTATTATCAAAGACTTAAATAACCAAAATGGATAAGAGTAGAAATTGTCTTTTAAGCAAAGATATGAATAAATTGAGAAATAGAAAAAAATGCTTGGGCAAATAAATTAATAGACAATTAAACATAACATAAATAGGAAATTAAATAGAAAAACCAGCAAGCAAAAGAATTAATAAATAAATATATGTTGAAGGAAAATTATTTTTATTCGTGAATCTCTAATTGTCTTGACTTATCTGTATTACTGATATAGCAGTGAAATAGGAACGGTTACGTAAACATTGTCGTCTAGCACGTCTGTCATTGCTTCATTATAGTATCAAGTTTTTGTCCAGATTGCATTTCGAATTCTTCACGAATTATGCATGAATCTTTTCTTTAAAATTCTATACGTGGGTATCCGTCTCAACATGATAGAAATAACTACATTGTACGTCACGAACGACTCACTGACCTTGATCTATTGTATCTCAAACACATTCTGCACCTGACCATCGTTTTGTAACAAGCCTGCTGCACAACATAAGCAACCAGTGGGCATTGAAATTACGCTTACATTACACGTGCAAGGTTTCACTTTATTTTGGCCTATCTGTAGTTGATGTGTAATACACTGTTGTGGGCACTGAAATTACGCTTGAAATTCTTATGCAAATCTCGCATCCATTCCCGTTTGTACTGATGTATGTATAATAGGGTGATAAAGAAGCCAGTTACGTATACAACTTAGTGATTGCGTGTCCCGACGTAATTGAGATTTTTTATTATTATTTTTATTATTATTCACACTGCATGATTACGGTAATGTCTACGGCAGTGTCTCAGTCTCTTCAGTGGGGATTAATTTTAAAGATACCGTGATTTTTAAGTCATAGATTATTAAAATTGAACATACTTTTGAATGGTGGCGACAAAATTGAAAAACAAGCTATTCTGTAGTTCGATTCTATAGAGTATAAGCACCACAAACACTATACAGAAATGTAACTTTTTAATGATTCCAAAATCAGATATATCTGGAAGATGGATATTTTTTGCCCGTTGAAAATTTGAGTCATTACCGTATATTCAGTCACCTGTGAAAAAACAAGCAAACAAATTAAAATTTTTAAACAAAGTCGGACAGGCGATTTCGACGAAATACCTAAGCTGGCAAAAAAAAACTAAGGTCACCTATAATTAAGGTATTGGGTATTACCTATCCAAAGCTGTTGAGAAAATTAAGATGTAAAACCTCGTTTTTGAGGAGTTCTAGAATTAAAAAAAAAAAACAGCCATTTGTGAAACTCACCAATCTTTATCCGCATTTCTGAAGTGACTCATGTTACAGGAAACACAACTCAGAATCGGGTGCATGCATCATAATTCCGTGGACGGGTTTGAATAAGGCAGGTAATAAGGCGTGGGAATAAAAAGTTAAAAAGCGTCGAATTCCCCACGTGAGATCACTGCAGCACGATGTAGATACTGACGCTTGTAGACACGTGGCCTTTAAAGAGCACAAACTGATGCGAATTGTGTTTGCATTTGGTGACATTTGGCGGTTTCTTTTCAATTTCATGGGCATTTCTACCGCTATGGAAATTACCGTAGAACATTTAATTTGAGGGGGTGCGTTCTCTAAATTTGCATGAATTATATTACATAGGCATATCTTCGTCGTACGGCTTTTCACTACCATCAGTAGATATGGTATCTGGAAATTTAATATATATATTATATATATATATATATATTATATATATATATATTAAAATGGTTAACAGCTGTGATGGGATGATTTGTAAACAAAAAAAGGAGATGTAACACATTGTTTTGTTCAAAAGTGTACAAAGAATTACACTTATTGTGCACCGTAGCTTAATTACGCTAAAACAGAAATAAGAAAAAGACAGAAAAAACATGATACGGGTTTTGATAGTCAACTTTTATCAACCAATTAAACCTGTGTGTCAACTACAGTTCCGGTAGGTTTTACAGGAATGATTTTTTTAATGAATCGTATGGTTGATTTTATGTCCCTTTAAGCTTTTTTTATTTCCATAAGTTTTAAATAAGTCTTAGTAAACGCAATAATTTTATGGTACTATATAACAGTGATGAGAGCCCTGCGAACAATTTGTTTCATTTAACGTTCACTTACGTTTCTCAATCTTTTCTGGAACATTTTGTGTATTTTTACGGATCTAATGCTGATCTGTAATGAGTGTAACAGTTCGAGAACTGTTTTTGGGAAGCCCTTCAGAGTGTCCTAGAACATATTAAGAACATTTTTCATTAAAAGAGAAAAAAAACAGTATGTTCTAGGACAGATTGAGAACCGTAAGTGAGCATTAAATGAGACAAATGTTCGCATGGGAGGAGCCCTGAGACCCTGATGGGGCTCGTTTTCAAAACTGAAAATTATTATTATTATTATTATTATTATTATTATTATTGTGTCAATTCTTTATTCCTACTTCAGGTTTTGACGTCCTCTCCCAGATTCGTCGGTGTCGGCGGGGTTTGTGATGTGAGGTTACCATGGCAACTGTGGAGTAAAGACTACTGGATCCAGTACGCCCTGGCAATCGTGTCTTTGAACAGTCAGTACATGGAAAAAGCCGTCCCAGGCTACACCAAGCTGGGCCAGACGTTTGGAGGAAGCGGAAACAGGGGTAAGGTNATTTGTCAGTGTTAAAGTGAAAATCTTCCTTTTTGTTTGCTTCTCTTTCTCTCTCTCTCTCTCTCTTTCTGTGTGTGTGTGTTTGTCAGTGTGTGTGTGTGTGTGTGTGTGCACGCGCGCACGTGTCCTATCAATATTAAAACAATATTCTCTCTCTCTGTTCTTATAATATTAAGACATAAATCCCTCTCTCTCTCCCTCTCTCTATGATCTTTGTCGTTTACGCCGTCACACATCTGCACAAACAGTAAGCGCGTATGTCCCTGACTGTATGATCTCCCTATGTCTCCACTTCCTGCCAGGCTTGTTCCAGTTCAATATCTGGCAGTACGGAAAATGGATGGCCATCCTTGTCGACGACTACCTGCCCGTGTTGGACGGTCACTGGGCTTTCTGTCCCCCTCTTGGATGGCCTGGAGAGTTCTGGGGACCACTGATAGAAAAGGCATATGCAAAGTAAGTCCAGTTATATTAATGTTCAGGATTTATTGTTCTTTCACTGCAATACATACAACATATATTGAATGCATACATGGAAATACAATATGTACCAAAATGTATTTAGATTCCAGGCCCATAGCCAGGGGGCAGGGGGGGGGGGGTCGAAAGGACCGCCGAGAAATGGTCTCTTTTGGGTAAAATTCTATCTACATGTACGTACACGAAGGTTTCATAGAAAAAAGGCCAATTTTTCAGAAAAGGAACCCCCTTTTGAAATTGCCGGATTTGGACCTGGATTCAATCACTTATAAGAAACCTTTAAATTGAATACTAAAGAAAATGATAATAAAATATAGACCTACAGTGTACGTCATTGTGTAAAAAGCTAAAATTTTCATATGTAGACAATATTAGTATAAGCAGTATGACATAATGGTGTTTCTACAGATTATCATTTAGCCTGACATTTAGTTAAAACATAACTGCAATGGTTCCTGAGGTCCCTTTTATTGATGCGGGTATTTGTCAAAAGATTATTTAATCTATGATCAGTTAATTGGTATCATCTTGATAGCCACACTCGCTCAAAATTTTAAAAAAAATTCCAGTTGTTAACACGCAAGATTTCGACATCCTGTACTGCTGACGTCATTTCAGCATCTGTTTGGTAAATATTATTGTTTTTTAAGTTTTAATGGAAATGTGCTAAGTGGCGATAGGTCTGTTTAAAGTAAACAGTATTTAATTTGTTCAGTATTATAGGCCCCATTCAGAATGAATGATCCGAGTACTTACTGATCCGCCGACAAAATATGGCCGACCACAGTTCAAAAGCGATAACGCTGATTACTGATAGTCTCCCCAACTCCACACGCGCCTTTTAACGGATTGAATCTCTGCCCTGAGGTTTAATTGCTAGGCCCCTGCAACGACGGCGCATGTAGAGGCGGGGAGACCATCAGAAATCAGTGGCATCGCTTTTGAACTGTGGTCGGCCATATTTTGTCGGCGGATCAGTAAGTGCTGGGAACATTCATTCTAAATGGCCCCATATATAGATTTCACTTATGATTTGGCAATGTTCAGCCACGCTCATGTTATTGCACAGTTCCCGCATTTGAGGCTGTTTTGATCTCTGTTCTCCACCTCGGGGGTATTTTGGTTATTTGCTTTGGTTATTTTCGACCCTCAATCCACGTCATTTATCGCGCTTCTTTAACATAAAGGACCGACTTTGTGAAATTTTAACTACATTGGGAAGGTATTGGTTTGCCTAGCCATCATTTTGAGGACGGAGATCAACGTGGAGCTTTTATAATTAACTACTACGACAGTGATGATGTTCCAGGGCGACAGATTGATTTTTCACAGATCTTAACAGATAAGTCTCTAGATAAATAGATGGTCATTTGGCTCTGTGTCACCCTCTAATGAAATCTCATGGTTGGTAATTGTTTGCATAACTGCTCAAGCACTGCCACATGACAGGTCCAAGCTAAGTCCTCTTGACAGCAATCAAGACAGTTAATTACTCTGGTCTTAATCACTTGCTCTTCTGTGACAGATAAAATAGCTTCTGTGACAGATAAAATACTACAGATCAAGNTTCGCGAGGCTTTATCCCAATTGGCTGAAGCAACCCACGTGAACGGTCTTTTGAATATGTATTAGGCACAAGCTCTCCCTAAGACCACAAGCTGGGTAATTATTAGGATTAAGCCCGTTACGAGGATAGGATGAAAGGAAACCCCTTGTTTCTACTCCTTCTCATTATAACTTCTTGTACAGATTGAGGTTAACTGAGGAATCTCCTGTAGTAGCTCCCTACAGAGCGGGAACAATGCATCTGTGCGCGCGCAGATTTAATTGCTTCTATCTGGCTAAAAGTCACAGGGTGGCTTTTTTCCATTTTTTCCCATATAATCTGCCACCCTGGTAGAGGGTAGTGATGATGTAGGCTTGAAGGACGTCGACACAGCCAGAAATCGTGAAAAGGAAATGACTTTTTCATGGTTATTTCTATGATAATAACAGTAGATGCTATATACCATACCGGTTGTTATCATGGGCCTGATATGTTAGGTGATTTACATGACCAATTTTGATTGCGTGTGAGAAATTAAAATTTATATCAGGCGTAGATCCGAGAGAAAAACGTTCATGCCTTGCCTTTGACTCGTTTTAATTAACTTAAGTAAAAAATAAAAGAAATTCAAGAAAAGAAGAAAGAGTAAGAGAGAGCACTTGTGCGTAATAAAGAAGAAAGAAATTCTTCATGCCATTTCCATTCTAAGCCAGATGGAGGTACAGTAACGGATACAAACCGCTCCCCAGGATTTGTCCCAGTACTTTTTCTCCCATTTTTCTTGCAGGTGCCACAAAGCTTATGAAGTGATAGAATCGGGAGACCCTTTAGATGCCTTAACAGATTTAACCGGCGCTATATGTGAACACTTCATGACGTCAGAACCGCCGGAAGTACTCTTCAATATCCTCCTGACGTCACATGAACACAAGTCCGTGACTTCATGTTACAGGAAGTCTGAAACGCAGGTGAGGGGGACAGTGAATCGAAGAAAGGGCATTTGTGCTTTGTATTTACTTGTAATGTTAAAACACTCTGATGGCCTGCCGCCGGTGTGATGGAACTGAGAGTCCGTGTAACAACAAAAAGTGCGCCCTCCATTTGGTTATAATGGTTAGGGTTAGCCTGGCCGAAGTGGGTCATAGTCTACGGCTAGGCTTACCTGTACAAATGAATGGGAAGCGGGCTCTCTATCGTTGGGGACTCTCTGTCACGTTACACCGGTGTTACGAGACAGTCCACCATGCTATTCCCCCATGTAGTTCAGTAGTTATAGAGCCACTTTGGCTCTGCCTAATATATTTTGCATTTTTCTTACAAGTAGACACTATTTAATATTGTACATATTTATTTATTAATAATAACATTCTTATTGTAAATTTTCATCCAACCATGTAGATGCATACGATATAATGAATAGTGTATTAAGTGACATGTATCAGCAGCGTGTTTTAGGGTGAAACTGTAATATTAATTTCAGGCAGATCTTCCTCATTGGAAAAGCTATATGTATCATGACCCTCTACCAGGGCCACTTTTCAAAGGATATTCACAGATACTAGTATGTCTTTAGATAAACAGACGGTCATTTTACTATCTCTGGCTTTTTTACCTTTTCCCTATAATATCTGCCACTCTGGTAGAGGGTTATGTATCAGAACTATTTTATTGCCTTTTCAATCACGGCAATAAGTGCTACAATCTGGTGCCAGGAAATCTTCTTGAATTATAGTTCTTTTTCAGTATCGGATATATGTACAGTCCTCCTCTTAGTTAGGGAACTTACTGGTGTAAAAAAAAAACGTGTCATAATACAGGGGTAAAATTCCAGTATGTACCCTACGTTTGGTCTCAAGGCCCTTTGCACTAATATCCATTCTTTCCAATTGAAAAACAACTTTAAAGTCATAATAACTCTTCGTTTTGGCCAAAAATTGGATTTTCCTGGAAAAAACGGCAATTTTCCCGTACTTACCAATGGCCAACGACCCCATTCCTGCATTCAAAGTTAATCCAGGGTTTTTTTCCTAAACGTACGGTTTTTTGTTAAAATCTCTTTAAGAGATTTTAACTGACGGAGCTCTCTCTGACACTGCAAAGTCACTGGTGACCTACTTAAAACCGCGGGAAAAGCAGACAACAACAACTCTATATAAGATTCATGAGATATATTCGTCTTTTTTGTTAAAAAATGCATTTATATCCACAATGTGTGCCATTCTGGGCTTTTCGTTATCCGACGCACTGTACAAAAACTCGCAACTTACGTCTGAGGGTTTCCCGCCATGTTATTTTGGTCTCGAATGAACGCGAGAATCCGCGTGACACCATTACGTCATAAGCAACGAATGCACTTGTCGACCGGTAAAAAAGGGATCGAAAGCCTTATAGACAAGTACAGATTTTATTTTTCCTACAATAACGGCCGTTTTAGTGGTAAAATACAATAGAATATATTTCCATGCATTGTTTACAATGCATTTCATGCGGATTTTTGAATCTCAAAGGAAGAGTTATTATTGCTTTAATATGTGAAATGTCCTTGTTGATTATCCAGGTGGTGACGTCAAAAGACGAAGGCCAATTAGCATTCAATTGCCCTGGCTTTAGGATAAATAAAATTTTCTAGGAAAGAAAATTTTCCAACCAAAAATAAATTGTTTCCTTACCGGGTTGATTTGTTGAACACGGCCAGTCTGTCGTTAAGGAAAATGTGGAATGTGGAAAATTTTGAGTCGTATAAAATTTCGCAATACCTTAGGCCTAAGCATCGAGCCAACATTACAACTATATTGGAAAGCAAAATTTGATATAAAAGTTTGAACAAAATGTCCAGCAATATCGGCTGTGAATTCATTAAGTTCCGTCATCATTAAAATATATAATTTTACACCAGTGCAGGGATAAATGCCAATAAAAATAATAGTTAACATTTTAATAACAGCTCTTAAAATTGTGATTCCTCACCATAAATTTGTTTCATAGGCGCACGTTATGATTTCCCTTATCCGTTTATATCATGTAATGCGGAAATTTACATTGTCATTTTGTGAGTTCATGGAGTTTCATCAGCAAAAACATCAGGATGAATTTGCAACATCGAGCGACGACGTACCATTAGTGTTTTGGGGTTAGACCTGTTAAAGCGATTTCAGACAAACCCCCCTTGGGTCAACGCCTATTTAAATAGTTGGAATTGGTACCAGAAAGATTTCCTGAAAATATTACTTCTGGTTTTAACAGCGAAGAGGCAAAATAACGCTTTTATTTAATAGAACTTCGTAATTTTGGGCTCATATCTCTTAAAAAGATTTGAAACCAAACGCTGGCACCACACTGTAGATAACTGTTAGAAACAGCGTTACGTTGGATGTTGATCGTAATCTCACGCCAGTTTCCAAATCAGCTAAATTGACGATAAACGCTTGGTCAACCTGTGTGCACAAGCGCAAGCATGGCGTGTTCTTCGTGGTAAATTTTTGCTGCAAAAGCGTAAATTTTTTCATACCATTTCCGATTTTGTCTTCTCAAAGACTGCAGCTATCGGCAAAGATTGATTCCCCCCTAATTAAATCGAAACGTGCTAATACAAGGCGCACACACCTAGCAATCAGATTTCTGATTCAGTGGAATCTCTCCGAAAACCTTATATGTGGCAGCATGGGGTATAGCGTGACATTTGCTTCCAAGAAATAATACGTGCTCCAATAAAGCCTTTGTTCATGGAATATCATATGTGTGTCATTTGATACTTTGAAAAACAACGACAAAAGTGTCACTTTTTTTTTTTTTTTTTTTTTTTTTGCCCCGTAATAATATTCGGTTTCCACCTTATTCCGATTTCATTTATATTTTCTGGGCCGAAGCCATTTCAGGGGCATGGTTAAAACCGCATCACTTTCTTGTTCTATATAGATAGCTACATAGCGTAGTGACAAGGACTTTTTCATTACACAAAATAATCAATACTCCTGCTGTTCACGGCAACCATTAGCCAATTAAGGTACGCATAGTAATCTTCTAGTAGTTTTGTCACCTACCACATAAGAGGCTCGGTTATTTCCAAAGCCAAAGCTTCTTGCAGGTATTAAGGGACGCCATATAACAGAGTTGGAAGCTCGCAAAACTCACCTACAAATATTAAAACATCATTGTCTGGTATATGCGGGTTGCCGGTGTGTATGGATTCGGTTCTCGGCTGGGTCACATTCAGAAAATAGTAATAATTCAACTTCTAAGTATTCTATTTATCTGTTAGTTTGTCTGTCTGTCCATTCATTCATTTATTTATTTATTTAACTGCAGTACAGTGTATATTTATCCATGCATTTATTATTTATTATCTATCCATTCATAAATTCATTTATTTATTTATTTATGTAACTGCAATATTTATCCATTCATTTGTTTATTTTTGTTTATCCATTCATTTGAAATTATTTTTTTCATTTCATTTCAGTCAGACAAATCCAGCAACAATAAGAATAGCCAGTATTTATACTTGGTCTGTGGTGTGACATCGGTGAGTAAGGGCGCATTCCCATAGATATTTAGATCGCTCTATCCCCGTGGGGAGTCTCACTAGACTACTGTCAAATAATCCGACTTAAATGTCCGTCCCGCCTACTACAAGCTGTAAGGGGGTAGTTAACTTTCGTGCCCGCTCGGCTGACAGCTATTTAGCGTGAACCTCCAGGGAGTTAGGTCGATCTAGTTGGATCGATCTAATCTCTGGGAATGGGGTCATATACAACAAAACCGAGGGTCACTTTCTTTTTAAGCATGCGTTCACAACAAATCTATCGCACTAGCTGCTGCACGCTAACTATACGTGGAGACTCTCGCTGAGTGCAATCACGACTAACACGCCTCCTCCTGGCGATGAGTACAATATAGAAAAGCTGGTGATTATACGAGTACATTGGAAAGAAGAGGAGGCATGTTTTATGTGTTAATCTATCAGCGAGATCCCCCGTGGAGTTGGTGCACAGAAGCAAGTACGATAGATCCTTTGTGAATGCACCATAAGACCGTGTTCTCCATAAACCCATCGTACTAGCGGGATAGATCTACGTGTAACTCTGCGGGGATTCTCGCTTAAGTATTTTCAGTGAAATCAGCTTAATTGTCTGGCATGCCTCCTTGACTAACTAGGGGGTAATTAATTGTCGTTAATTACCCCCTAGCAGCTTGAGCAGGCGTGCTAGACATTTAAGCCGCTTACACTGAATCTTTTTTTACTTTTTTATTCCTTAATCATTTCTCACTTTAACTCTTAAATGTAATTCTTATTATCTTTGTAATACACTATGTTATTTAACGTTTTATTTCCACATCTCAAACTTGGTGATTTATAATTATCATTACTTTTGTTATTTGATTTTTAGATCTTTTAAGAGGTCGACCAAATTCCAATTTCTGACGTATTTATATATATGTTATTATACTTATCATCAGGGCACAGACGCTGAGGGTAAGAAACAGGCCGCAATACAACTCTTCTGTCCCTACCTGTCAGAAATAGACCAAATGGCGGGGCTGACTATAACGCGCGTTCAAGCACCGCCCAAAAAGACTTCCAATTTTGGATTTTGGGTAACATTTGAGGAATTTTTGGAAAAATTTGCCGCCGTAATTATTTGCAGTAGCCAGAATCCTTTTGACATCTCAAAAGAGCACATCAATTACTCAAAGATCAGAACCTATAGCAACGGGCCTCGTTCCCAAGCATGTAAGTGGTTGGATGGCCTTGACGGCCTTGACGACGAAAGCGAGGTCGGAGTCACGCATACGGTGCTACAAGAGAATGCTGGTAATGCCATCAGAAGTGGCGTCACTCAACAGTTGAGCTCCATGTCTCCTAAAAACAGCATTCCATTGACGACGTGTAAGAAAACTATTGGCTCGAAGAATTTGAAGGCAATAGTACCGTCGCCATTTTTGTCAGACCGTGATATTGAATCTGCATTTGATGCAGCTGGGAACAAAAGTGGCTGTAAAACTAAGATAGAGGTTGGCACTAAAAATAAAGCCGACGGTGACGGTAAAAGTCGTACTGTGCGTAATTTTCCGGTTTTGGTTCAAGAGTCCAGTAATAAACATTCACCAAGTGGTGACAAGGAAAGCCAACGTCTTCGACGCAAAGAAAAATCAAAAACTTTCACAGCACCATGCGAGACACGGATCCAAATTAAAGAGGAGCGGAGACATTCTTATCATGTTTACTATCATGGTGGCGGCGGTGGGACTAACGACTGCAGCGGTGGAGAGTTGATCCCCAAAGGTGAAAGAAAGGTGGAAAATGGCACCAACATTACCAACAGCAACAATAACAGTAAAGTGACGCGCTATCTGCGAGAGCCTTCAATACTGCAAAGCCGGAATGGTCTACGCCGAAACTCAGTCACGCCCAGCTCTAGTGAAGATTCGGACTTCTCACTAAACGGAAGCATCAAAAGTATTACGGACCTCACTTTGCGCATCGACGTGAGCAAGACGATCGAGTCTCACAAAGAAGAAGTAAAGACCCTTCCCCGCGTGCACAGCGCTTCGGACGCTATGGCCTTAATGGGAGCAAGGACCAGCACAAGCATAATTGATATGTTTACTACAAGTCAGGGCACTGCAGAAGAAAAATGCTGGAAAGTAGTTCTAACTCAGACAGTGTTGTTAGGTGAGTGGGGACTACTTTGTCACTCTTATTATGTATTCATACAGTAGGGCAGACCGTTCAGGCGACATTCCTTGATTTTGCTTTTGAAAGTGCACGTTTAAGTGAAGTTTGGGTTTTATGTTTCCTTTTATTACTTTTAATGCTCTTTTGTGACATCTGTCAGTTGTGGTTGATATATATATATATTTAAAAAAAAACAGTGACAGTATCAAAACTACTGTGGACCTTTCGCATTATTCAAGTTACGGAATCCTCCGCCCGTATCATTCACACACCAGGTGAATTTGGTTAAAAATATCTGATAGGTAATGCCACGGTGTTTGATGGTAAAATCGGTGTAAGAAAAGCCATTAGGCACGGCTAAAATACAAGCAGTTTACCTTCAACATATAGACAATGAGGCGCAGGCAACTCCAAATCATTGGGGCTAATTTTCCCAAAAAGTATTTTAACAGCTTAACATTTAAAAAAGGTTTGAAAATAAAGCTGACTTTTGTAACAAAAAATATAGCATAGTGGTTGTCCGAAAATGATAAACCTTGAGAAAATAAAATATAGAAAAAAGTTCGGCCTTCAAAAAACTTTACATAATTACCGTACGTTGGATACAGCAAAACACTTTTTCTATGAACAGGAAGCTCGGAATACGGCCCAGCAGGCCTCCAGAACGATCTCCCCAGGGTGCGATTCAGCGTGGGTGGAAAAGAGAAAAGCGGGAGCTTTTTAAACCGTCAGCGGAGTCACCATATCCTCTCTGTCATGCAGATACAGACGAGGACATCCCGCTATGCCATGCCGGTGTCTATGGGAATAGTGGTCTATAGGGTAAGTGGCTGTTTTCTGTAATTGATCCAGTATTATACTAGTAGGAATGGATACAAGCAGAAAGTCAGGGCACGAGGACGATTTTACTAAATACGTACTAGTAGAGTACAGGAATGGAAGTTTTTGCGTTTTTGTATCTTGTTTCCTTTAGTCTGGGAGAGCGTGGGGGGAGGGGGGGGGGTCATGGATACCGTGCACCTACTGTAGGTTCTAGTAGGTCTATATATCATTATTTAAGAATAAGAGCGTTGTGCTACGTGGTATTATAGAATCACAGAGAGACTGCGTGTTAAGTTAATATGTCGATCGGGATATGTTAAATGTCACCTTTCCTTACTCATAGCTCGCCTCTTGCCGTACTAATGTATCGTATCGGTCGGCGCTTGAACTTAACAAGTCGGAACTTAACATCTGAATATGACTGTAAGAAATCTAACTGTATTAACAGTCTTCAAAAGAGTAACTTGCATATTTTATTCTATTCATTTATTTATTCATTTTTTGCTTTTTTTTATCAGGTAAAGCACATTGAGAAAGACGGCAAGCGAGATCTCTCGAAGTTACAGCTCGTTCATCAAGTCGAGGCCAAGCACAAGTCACGTGAGCTGATCACGAGGACAGAGCTGGATCCGGGGAGTTATTTTCTGGTTCCTTTCCCAGTGGAGCAAGCTTACAGTGGAAATGTTTTGATACGGATTTTGGGAGATTGAAAGAACATAATTTAGATTGAAGGAAATAGAATTTAGAATGCTATGGTTATAACTGATGTTGTTTTCATGGATATGGTTGAGGAAATTAAGGTTTTAAGGAACGATGTGATTAATTCGTCCAGGAATGGAAACCAAACAAGCGTTATTTTGCGAGACTGAGCGAGGACGCATTAACATGTCTGTGAATCTGGACTTTTTTTTCTTAGGACAGAAATGTGTTGCGACAGTGACAATCTCAACAGTTATCGGAGATTGAACAAAAAGCCGCGACTTCGAATTCCATAGTTTACCATTTACCTCGCGTCCAGACTTATCCACGTAGAACAAAGTGAATGACATTTGCGAAAAAGTTGAATAGGGCTTGTAGAATGTTTTCGTTAGATTTACCATTGAGGAATTAGGAAAGGTGCCATTTAAAGTATGATTTATACACCTGGCTAAGTCACTGTACGATTAATGATACGATTTTAAAAGCTGTGAAAGTTGCACAGTTAAGCACGATTTTTTTTTCTGTGAGCAGATATACGAGTACCTGTAAGTAATAATAATGCAGGTACTGGTATCACATGATATATGTATTGTGATTATCCTTATAACATTCCACACATTGTAACGTCTGAGGTTTACTCAAGCCTTTAGTTCGGTTTGACTTTGTGATATGATCATATTTATCTCATTTTGTTGTTCATAAAAGTGTAAATGTATATGAAAAGGTGCTCCCCAACACTCCCAACGTACGCTCGTTGTTGAACGATTTATAAGCAATATAGGCAAACGAAGCCTTTCCAGTAAGCGTTTTAACATCATACATAGGATAGGTGCAGACAGTTTCCGTCATTTTCCGTGAATTCCCGACAGTTTTCGTCAAAATTTGGTCGGCCTATTTCGACCCGAGTTAAATGACTGAAAGGTCACTTGTGTGAATATCTTGCGCCTGTTTTATAAAACCTGAGAGCTAGATAATGCTGTAGAACTATGGTTAATTGCTTATTTTTGGCAGAATACTGGAACACAGGATTGAGATGGGTCTTATATACCCCGCCTTGTAATACAGACCGATTTTTGACTTGAGTAAAATAAGGTCCAGAGATGCTTTTCAATCGGGTTGTTTCCATCCACTTTGTACTATACTTCAATATTATTTTATTAACGTTTGTCGTATGTATATGCCTTATTAATCACCCCTGGTAAAACACTGGTGCCCTCGAATACAACATGGTGCGTCTTTAACTTAAACTTTTTAAAGTTTCAATTTTTTACTGATCGTAACTTATTTTAATCAGATTTTAGAGTGATTTTATTTTTATTCGTGATCTTATGTCCTGCACTTTTTATTTTGTTTCGTCCTTTAAGTGTTAATAAAATTAATGTAACAAATAGACATAACTGATGAAAAGAGTACCCGATGAAACTAACGAGTGTGTATTTTACATGTAGGGCCCAGCAATCTAAAAATGTGTCTTGTTTGAAGTGAAGTGCCTAGGACCCATTACATAGGGTAATCAAAGATATCGTGTTGAATGTTAACAATCTATATTTATATAGTTCATACAAACATGTCGAGCTAAGATGAATAAATTCTATATCTTGTTTATGTTGATGTCTTGTTTATAATCAGGATTATATATTTATTTATTCATTTATTTTTGTTGGGTATGCAACATATAATACATTACAAATTATGGAAACTTTTTCAGATAATCGGAGGTTAAAAATCTAAAATGCGCATGCTTTTTTGTCACCTGTAAGAAAGACACATGTAGGAATGTTAACCATTTTAAAGACTTGTAAAAGTTTTTCTTAAATCTTTTCTCTAATCATGCCTTAAGCGGTGCCTTCTTTAAGTGATTAAATGACGTCAGGGAAATGGAAGAAATCTAAAAAAATCTAAAAAACAAATTTTAATTAAAACGTATATTTAAATACCCAGCTGCGAGTTAAGGCATTATTCTAGCTGACAAAAATATTACAGCTTAACTGGCAGCATAATCAAATAGAAACACCAATATCACACAGTGAACTTAGCCCGAAAATAGAACTAAACTTTTGGACCACCTAGTGGAGGGCAATCCAGTTAAATGAGCTATTGTGCCTGCATAAAAACAAACAAACAAAGACCAAGACATAGCTAATGATTTGGACTAAAACTACTTCATTTTATTGGGATAATACAAATGTTATCCAACCTAAAATAGATAAAACTTTTGGCGTTAAAGTCAAGACCAATTTTCGGGCTAAAGTTGTATTGTGTAACCGACTCCAGCGTTACCAACACGACAGCGTTAATAATGTGTTAATATGTCATTTTACAATAGACTCACACCTGATGACGGATGACAGTAGTAATCGATATGATAGCTACGATACTACACACATATAAACTGCAATCTCTGAACGGGGGTTCCACGTGGGTCGCTATCGGTTGAAGTTGGCCGGTGTAACGAAACTGAGGGTCCGTGTAACAGAAAGTCCGCCCTCCATTTACTTATAATGGTTAGGGTTAGCCTGACCAAAGTGGGTCAAAATCTAGGGCGAGGCTTACCTGTGCGAATAAATGGGAAGCGAACTCTATCATGGGAGACTCTCTGTCTAATTACACCGGTGTTAGAAGAATGGTAGTCTCCGCTAGGCACCGTAGTCCGTTCCCCATTACTTTGTACAGGTGACATTCGTCCCATATCCCAACCCCAATACTCCGACTAACCCTAACCTGTGCTAATCATATGTAGGACGCGGACTTCCATTCCTAGGACTACCATTAGATAAAGAAATAAAGAAACGAGAAAATAAAACAAATTAATAAACAAACATCGTTCAGGAGTTAGACAAAGATTTATGCGAAGACCATAAGTTGGTAAATAAACATGATTGAGAACAGAGGGAAGGTTAATCTAAACCTCTTGAATTGTGTTAGAGAAGATATTGGTTAAAATGTCTTGGAGAAGATGCCCAACACAATCTATTATGCAAAGAATAACACAAAGACCTTGACTCCAATTTTCGGGTTAATAGAGCTCTTCAGTTAAACGGCACCAAACTCCACGATACTAAGATCCTTTTAACATCGAGCTGTAAACGTTACCGATACTGTAGGTATAGATACACTTTGAGAGATACACATTTTTGTTAAAACGAATAAAAGTTTAGACCAATGCCCCATTAGAGAGGGGGTGGGTGGACGAGGGAAGTAAGGCGTGGAGAGGGTACAGTTCGGTAGCGAATAACGAATGAAGAGTGATTGAACTATATTTTTATTGTATCTAAACTACTATCTAAGACTGACTACTTCTGCACGTGTAGCACAAATATATACATGGTATATATATTATATAGCACGTGATCCTAGTTGGGTGGGGTTAAAATATAAACTGTATGCCAATCAACTGTCTGAGTGCAAATCTCAACATAAGGTAACTTCTCCGTTAGTCCCATGCCTCGCACAGGTATATTGAAGTATGAATTAAAAGAAAAACTCTGCAATATGCATCACTATGAGCAGACTATGACATCTCCTCGAGTGTACAGATAATTCCATTCCTCACGCAATAGGAAACATCGCACCATTACAAAATCCACGTTCTGGCCACAACCCGTTGTTACGTTTCACTGAATGCATGTAATTAACTCACTCATTTACATATCATGTTTATATAATCAGTCAGCCTATTATCATTCACTTTGCTTCAGTCTTGAACGAATAATTATCATCCTGTGTATAGGTATACCTGATAGTTAGAACTGATATAACTTATAAGTAGAAGCTCTCACTTGTCATCTATTGCATTGCAATTAGTATTTAAATCAGTTGCTGCCACTGTGGCATGCAGATATATGTAGATACCCTGTAGATAATGTGTATAAATGCTGAATGCTTAGACTTAATAAAGGGACTTTTTAGAGTTGGAACTGTTGTTAACTTCCCTCTCCCATGCATCAGTGACAAGTGAAATTTAAGAAGAACCTGGGTAGGGAGGAACATGGACCCCTACACCGTATACCTTGATGTCCTAAGGACCTTGGTCCGTGTAATTTGGGTGAGAAGAGTCGTTTGTGTTCAGCCAGCCCATTACGGGGGCGTGCAGTATCTTCAGCCGGTCACGTTATGCATATTGAGATGTTACTGCCGTGATAGATATAACAACCGGATATGCATCCATATAGATATGGGGCAAACTAAATGACTTGTTTTGGTGGACATGTCCTCATTATTCCTTAGCTCGGCCACCAAGCGAGACGTGTGTCAGCCGAGGGTTATTTCTTGTAAGGGAGAGACAGTGCCGCGTAATGAATGAGACACTGACCTAGCTTTATATTTATCTTAGGTTTGAAATGTTTATAGATGTATTGCTTAACGCTTTTCATATGATATTGCTGTGACATTTAAATAAGTAAGGACCTATCACTTGAATCACTATATGATGGACCAGACGTACGACTGGGAAGAGCTGAAGTGGAAAACCAAGGCAATAGCGGTCATTTGTCCGTCATCTTTCCTGTTCTTCTTCCTGGTCAAGCGACTGGTCAAGGCGTACGGCATTCCGCGTGCGTGTGCCGCCATTCCAGACCGCTGGAGTAACTACGCGACGTCATGTTTTCACGCGCTGGTTTGCGGGGTGGCCGCACTGGCGATGTAAGTATCATGAAGGTAACCTGAATTAGATTAAATGCAAAAGGAAAAAAATGAAAATCGGTAGTACAGCTATTCCGTTAAAAAGCAAGGAGTGGAACTGGGTCCACATTCCCCTTAATTGTTCAGTGTTTGCGTGTTTGAGAGAGAGAGAGAGAGAGAGATGTTGGGCTACATTTAAAGCAAAGTCACCAGATTTTCCATAGACAACGCTGATGTCAACACTTATACACTACTGCTATTCCTTTTGTCAGGCAGAGAAAATTAAGTGGTTTTTCGTATAGGGGTCATCCATCTTTATCATCATTTTCACGAGTATACAAACCGTACGCTGGGTGGGGGAGGGGATGAGATAAAATGCCATCTTTAGGCCCTTTGAAAATAATAAAAAATAATGATCCAAATTGCCGACAAAGGTCCTCACTTTTAGCTTTTCATCTTGTTTTTCAATTTCCGTTTTATATGAATTTTATATTTATATATTAATGGCTGAATAAACTCTTATCTTATCTTATCTTATCTTGTTTTCTCTGAAGGGAGGGAGAGATCTCGAAAAAAGTCTACTCTGTCTTCATGGTGTAGGCTCAGAAAATAATGATAAAAGTAGCTGACTCTAAATTCATCATTTTCATTTATTTACTTTCCAGCGTTCTGACGGGGGATGGGTGGATGGAAAGCAGCCCGCAGTCTTTTTATCTACACTGCGTTGCCGCAGGTAAGAATATGACATCGTAATTAACATTGAGAGTAACTTTGAGAATGTAATGGCAGAATTAGGGATGTCCACAGCGTTTACGGAGATGACTAAAAATGACTAGAGACAGCAATTTCAAAGTTGGGGGGGGGGGGTCTTAAAAGTAAATACTTATAAAAGTTATCTTTTTAAATTATTCATCTCCACGCGTTGGCCTTCCAATACAGGGTAAGTTATTAATTGTACCACCAGCGTTAGCGCTGGCGGTACACATGGTTTCGGTCCCGTCCGGATCGTTCCGCCGGCTCCGCCGGACGGCTACCGTTACCGCTTCTCCTCCTAGACGGTAAGGGCCCCCGTACCCATCTCATGGATTTAGGTCACCTATAATCTCAACTCGTTCCACGTAAAATTTGGGCTTTGTCGGTATTGGGGTCTGGGTGTGGCACTCATTGCAATGCACCCTTGTCTAAAAATGGCAAAATTAAATGCTAATTATCTACCCTACGGAAGGAGTTATGGGAAAAATTTCTATAGACGGCTTTCCAAAAGTCATATGTGTAGATTTCAAATATACCCTTGGA